GCAACTAGTAAGATATTTTTTCCTTACAAAAACGTATTTATTTTAAAAATTACACTTAAAACAACAGAAAATTATAAAAAGAGGCAATTTTTTTTTTTTAAATTTTGGAAGTGTTACTTCTTACCATTTAAACCATGAAATAGAAAGGACGATCTTAAGGAAATACTTATCTTTTACAGAATGCCTACAATCTTTTTCTTTTAAATTTAATTATTCTTTAATAAGCAGGGAAGTAGATATTTTGATAGAAATTAAACCATATTCCAATAACAACTGTCTTCATGCACAATATGTTTGTTAGTAGATTTATAGGAACAAGTTGTTTTATATTTCACAATGTTTCTCTGTGAAGTAATTTTTTTATAATTTAAAATAGTTTTTAGCGGTAAACGTCTGTAGTTTTAAATCATGGTCAATATATTTACGTTATTTTTGAATATAACCTACAAGGTATGAATGTTTAGCATTTATATTTGGCCAAAGAATTTATAAAAATCTTATTTATTTATTTTCTTAATATATTAAAATCCGAGAAATATTAATCGAAAATTGAAATCGTAAATTCGAAATATTAATTGATCGATATTAATCGTTTTGCGTTATAAATGACAAAAGTGTTGAATCTTTGAATAAAATCCAACCCAAATATCTATATCAAATAATGAAAGCAATGTTAAGTGCGACACTAGCGCATAACCTATTTCGTTTCTTTGCCTTCTCGGAGTTTCGATTCAGACGACTACTTGTGACGTCACAATCCAGGGTCCTGGCTTTCTTCTGTTAGGAGGTGTTGGTATAAGTCGACCCCCACTTTGAAGACTTTTTTTTTTTTTTTGGTCCAAAATATCTCGACTTATAAGCGGATATATACGGTAATCATTTCATTATTGAGTTATATTATCACTAATTAAGAGTTATATTATTGCTAATTTAAGATAATCAAAAGATTATTTATTTATTTATTTGACTTTTTTATTTTGAAAAGTTTGTGCAGAAATTCAAACATTAATATAAGCCACATTTTTTAAGTACTTAATATTTTGTAGCTAAAAGAGTGAGAAATCACTTTTATGGGGGTGGAAGGCTTCCACCATGGGGGGGGACTGAATAACTTCACTTTTAACTCAATTAAAATAAAATTGTTGATTTTAAGTGTCACATGAAAACTACATTTCTATGCATAAAAAAATTCAATTTTAGAATAATCAAAATGAAATCTTTTGTTCTATATTAATATTCTCCCACTGTATAAAACATCTGTTAAAAAATCCCATTAGAAAATTCAGTATGCATAACCATCTTTTGCAAGATCTGTATACAGTTTCCAAAGAAATATTTCAATTAAATTGATAAATGTTTTTTGGTATGGCTAAGTCAACTATTGGCAATACTTTTCTCATTAATATATACAGTGGTGGCCAAAATCGTGGACACTTTTGGAAATTTTTATGTTTTTAAACTTTGTATGCTTATAGAAAATGTTACGTTTTGCAAAATGCAAACTTGTATATATCATTTTAAAGAGAATTTATTACTGAATTCAACACAAAACACAAAATTCAATTATTTGCAATACAAAAAAAGTTATGTTTAATACAAATAAAAAACACAGTTATGAAGTGGTTTGTAATGTCTAGCTTTTCTGGTCAATCACTGTTCTTGTTCTGAGAACCAGTCAAATGTTAGTAACTGCCAGTAGAAGCTGACATCATGTTTACACTTGAAGCAATTCATTATTTTGCTTTGCTCTGTAGAAGGAGGACCTGTTTCTTATACACTGCAATTACAAGTAGGAATTTTTGTAAAAATTTTTAATATTTAGTCAAGAAGCAATGACATCAAATAAAAGAGTAGATTGGACACCTAGAAAGAGACGTAATATTATTGTGTTACGAGAAAGTGGTCTTTCCTATGCTGAAATTGCAAGACAGGTGGGTGGTTCAGTGACTACATCTGGAGTTCGAAAGTTTTGTTTACGATATAAGGAGACAAATTCAATAAAAAACAAAGAAGGAAAAGGCCGAAAAAGGTGCACCACATCTATTGATGACAGAAGAATAAAAAGACTATGTCACCAAGATAGAAAAATGTCATCAGCAGCTATCAGAAGTGATCTGAATGATGCTGGTGTTTCTGTCAGTTCAAGAACAATCAGGAGAAGATTAACAGATGTTGGACTGAGATGTAGAATTCCACAAAAAAAGCCTTATCTTAATTTTCAGCAACGAAAAAAAAAAAAGACTACAGTGGGCAAAGGAACACATTAATTGGACAGATGATCAGTGGTCACAAGTTATATGGAGTGATGAAACTAAGATATCGTTATTTGGTAGTGATGGACGAAAATATGTAAGATGTAGAATAGGAGAAGAGCTACATCCTGACTGCATTCAAGCAACTGTGAAGAACCCAGTTAGTGTTATGATTTAGTCATGCATGTCAGCAGATGGTATTGATCGCCTCCATGTCATCGATGGGACACTGAATGCCTGAAAATACATTGACACTATTCTAGAACCAAAACTTCTACCTTCCATCAGAGATCTCTTTCCCAACAATGCTTCGTTTATTTTTCAGCAGGATTCGGCTCCTTGCCACACAGCCAAAATATCGAAAGAGCGGTTTCGTACAAAGAGCATTAAATTGTTGTCATGGCCAGAAAACAGTCCTGACATCAATTCTATCGGGAAGAGGGGGGGAGTCGCGGCGCGCTATGAACTGGAAGTTGATCTGTCAGCACTATCCTTATCTTCAGGGCAGATGTTTTTATTTTATTCAGCTTATAATTCCTTACTAAATGTTGTATTTCATCTCGATGTACTCCGTCTTTGATATGATTTAAATCAAATTCCTCGTCATTGTAAATATCACGAATGCACATCAAATAGTTTTCTGGTTGCAATTTTCTAATTTCGACTAGGCGTAATGTATGCTTTAGGCATGCGCGCGTTGAAAGAAATGTTTAATAAAGTAAACAAATAAATATTAAGCTTTTTTTTTGTAAATTTTGATACCCTTTAGATCATAATTGCTCTTTATTTCATAAATTTACGGTTTTATATTTTTAATTTTATAATTTCTGCATGCCATCTTACCAGATTTAAACTGATGATCTATAATCCGGAATCGACGAAGCCCCAACGAGTCCAGATTAAAGACTTTTAACTGTATTAAATTTTCGCATTCATATATATGTAATAATAAAAGTAATTCATATATATGTAATTTCGCATTCATATATATGTAATAATAAAAGCAAAGGAAAGGAAAAGCCGGAGCAGTGTCGATGCTTGATTAGATCCATATTGAAGAATTTTGATTGCGTAGTATTTAAAGAACTTGACAGTCGAAGCAGTTTTAATTCCATTTTTATTTCCAATTGGTATTTGTGGCCACAATCACTTGGCACTCTAGTCGTGCCTTTCCACAGAAGATTTACATTTTTGATATTGTTGAGATAGAAAGCAAGCCAGCGAAATTACATCTTAGCAGAGTAGAGGGCAAAAGCTGAAGTGCGTAGTTATGAAAGATGGAAGCACGCGAAGAGAAAAGTTTTGGTTTACAGTGGCAGTTTCAGTTCTTAATTATTACGTCATCAGAGTTGCGCAGGCCATAGAATGATCTAGAAATGACGCAATGCAGAGAAGTTATTACGATTTTAGAATAGAGAGGAAGAATTAATGTTTATAGTTATAATTCTGATTCATACATTTTTTATCTTACATATTTCCCCCCTTCAAAAAGAAAAAGGCGTAGCGACAGAGAAGCCTTTTGAAAGAGAAAGAGTTAAAGCACTAGCAAATGTAAAAAAAAAAACATAAATCATAAAATTTTTGTCCTGTAAAGTATAATTTATAAATATAATTTTTTTTAAATAAATTTTTAATTTTTAGAGACCTATTGAATTTTTCAGCATTTCAGTCCAAAAGTCTTTTTGTTTGAGAATTCACATAATCATAATTCTTCAGGGAAGGTTCTTGTTATTACAGAATACCACAAAAACTTTTTTACATAATCATTACTTATAATTAAATGTAATGCACATAAATATGTATGATACTTATTTCCATACTGATAAATTATAATTTAACATCATAAATAATAGGATTAAGATTTTCAGAATTTATGGTTTTCACCGTTATCATCTTTCATTTACATCCTGATTTACCAACTGGAAGCCTCGCAATACTTCTAAACAAACATATCCATTAATAGGGCTGTCCTCTTGAGCTAACCAGTGTGTTCTCTGCACTAGTGGCCCAGGGTGCCTAGGCAGTTACTTGAAAAGCCTCCGTTCCTTGCATTAAGGTAACTGGCCTTTGAGAACTGCACTAATACATTCCATAATAAAAAAATATAATAATAATAATATAAAAATGCTCTTGGGTGCTATACATCTTTGAAAGAGACCATTACAGAGAAAGAAGCTTACTTGTATGAGCTGGGATAGCAACAAATGGTCGTACTGATCTCTACTTGATTCCTGGTGGCTCCATCACAGCTGTCTGATATCATAATGTAATATGTAATTCTACATCCTTTTGTTGTGTCCTTTTATATCCGCAATGGGTACTGACACAATATTTAAAGACAATAGCATGTAAAGGTATGAGAGCTAGCCTCTGACATCCTGGATTCTCTCTTTTTTTTTTTTTTCTTTTTTAGGTGGGGGGAAGATTTAACATAAACTCTTAAGATAGTCTACAGCAATTTCGGTTTGATTAAATTTATTCATTTAAATACCGTTAACATAACATTCATTAAGTAATATATTTATACATTCAATTTACCTCTCTAAAAAAGATATGCTTTGTTAATTTAAGTCACAAATTTAATTTTATGAAATTAATATTCTGAACCTATATTTAAAAGTCAGATTTCTTCTAAAAGATACATACATTATTGTTTTATTATCGCTGTCACATTAGAAAATACATATAACAATGGACTTAAAAACTATGAAAAAAATTACTAATATCATTAGAACAATGGTGTTTCACCTTTAATATGTTCACTGTCTAAGTACTGAATTAGGTCCTTTACAGTTTGTAGAGAATCCACAGCATTCCGTATCCTATCTTCTTCTAAAAATACATGACACATGTTATATTTCTTATCATAATATAATTTAACTGAAATTAATGAAATATTACAAAACACATTAGATAAAATAAAATCTAAGAAGTTTATAATAATAAACCTGGGAAGAGGGCAATTAAAAATCATACATCTTGTTCTGAAAATAAATGACACATATTATATATTTCTTTTCATAATATGTTTTATCTGAATTAATTAAATATTGCAGAACACATTAGATAAAATTAAAATAAAGAGGCTTTCAATAATAAACCTGGGAGAGGGCAATTAAAAATCATGCCACAATATATTTTCTGATATCATTGAATTATCTTGTAAAATACTGACAGAGAAAAATAAATTACTTGTACTTTGTCACACTGATTTCTAAGATTACTGATATCAGAAAGCAAGCATATTTGTTTATAATTAAGTTGCTACACTAAACATTCAAAGAAAGGTCAAACAGATTTTCACAAGAATAAAGATGTTTTAATTGGCTTGTTTCAATTGAAAACCAGCTTGAATATAGTACATTTGCTCTCTGAAAATGGACACAGCAGCCTTATTAGTTAATATCTTGCCAAAATACATAAACCTGATCTAGAACTATGCCAGTTAAGAAAGCAAATGCATGAAAAGTAAGCTACGAATATATGGAAAGTTAGAAGGACTTGAGCTGTTAAAACAATACATATTCATTGACTGCCCTATGACATTTCAATTTTTTAAATGCCTTACTGAACCTACGAAGTCAAACAGAACTAGAAAAGTAAATCTCCTGATCACTATGAATAACATTCAGAGTTTCTAGACAATCTGAACCTAAAAACATAGAAGGAAATTGGAAATTACAGTTTTTAGAGAAGGTGAAAGAAGAAAATAACTAGAAAATTGAGGGAGGAGATCTTAAAGAAAACAATTTTTGAAAACTAGTAAAGCTGCTAAATGAAGAGCCATTTAATGCAAATGGGACTTCAAAGCAAAATCCAACAAAAAAGGTGAGACAACTGCACTGTAAGATTAGTTGCTAAGGTCTCTGCTAAAAATTTGGTAGTTATTATGATGATGCAATCTCATTAATTGTGAAATGCACAACAATCAGAGTCATCTTAGAAGTGCAGTAAACACTGGCATGAAAACCCATCACATTTATGTGGAAATAGCACTTCTCCATTTCATAGAATTTTCATAGAACAACCATAAAGTATGTCAAAGCTGGAAAAGAGAACAAGGTATGTAAGCTAAAGAAAATTTAGAAGCAAACTGCAAAAATATGGAATCAAACTATTCTCACTTATAAAAATAACTAAAGCAAATTTAAAAACTTTTTTAACTTTTAAAGACTGAAAATCATTTTAATAAAATCCCAATGACTTATATGAACTGAATAAAACTCAGCACACAGCAGAAGAATTTAAAAAGAAAAAACACACAAACACAACATATTATGTGAAATTTTTAGTTCATAGAAGCGAAATTATTAAACTGTTATCTCGTCTACAAACTACCCTCAATATACAATGTAATGCTTCTTCTATCAAAAATTGCATTTACCACAATATAGTGATTACACAATATATTCATTTAGAATTGAAACATAAACTGTATCAGAAGTACACATTTTTTAAGATATTAAAATATTTATTTGATATAAATTTTAAATGGATAAATAATTACTCATTTACTTACCAAGTAAAACTAAATTCAGTTTTGCAGTTTCTGTTAATGTAACATTTTCTCTGAAAGCTGGATTTAAGAATTTTTCTAAATCATCCACTGCAGTTTTCAGAGAAAAAATAAAACAAATTTTTAAATTTAAAAAGTTATATAATCTAACTGAAAGAAACTAAAATACAAATTAACATATGAACAGGAAATTTATTTTGCATCCATATGAAATTCAGAAAACACAAATTTATTAGATATAATTATTTTTTTAATTTATTCTTTCTATTTAAACTATCAGTTATATATAAAATTAAAAACATCAGGCTTAAACAAAGTAAAGCTTTTAACACAATTTTTTTAAATAAATAAAGAATGAGAATACTTAAGTATTTAAATTTCCTTCATGTCTGTAATATGAATTGGTTTATATAATGGCTATTTAAAACATGAATAAAGTCTAATATAAAAAAAATTACAATAATGCATCAATTAAATGAATTCAAGAAAAAATATACATTCAAAATTCTTAGAAATTTGATACAATTCTTGTATGATATTTTCCAGAGCAATGCCTTATATTTTAAAAAATATTTAAATTATTCACAAAATTAGAATATTAAAAGTGTATAACATCCAAATTATTATTAACTCCTAATTTTAATTTTGGTTCAGATATACAATATAAAGTAAGCATTAGGTGCATATGAGGACATATTTGTACTCATTAAATGCAGATGGGAAGAGTTACAGGTAAATTTAGTAGTGAAGGTTTATTGAAAAGAAAATGAAATAGAATAGCAAATATAGAATAGCAAATACAATACAAAACAAAGTCTGAGATTTGTACTCATCAGAACATCGGTAATTCCAGAGTTGGCATTTTCAGGATATTAGATCTTCAACTTAAATATAGTAAGATGACATGTAGCTATTATAAAATTAAAATTAAGAAATAGTGATTATGAAATAATGAAGCATTTATGACCTTAAAGGAATCAAAATTTACAAACAAAAAATGTTGAGTACTTATTTGTTTTCTTGAAACATTTCTTTCAATGTAATTTGTTTAATTTGCTTCATTTTTTGTGCTACTACTTTCTCTTTAATTCCATAGATATACTTTGACATACTTTCATTCTCAGTAAACTTCTCTGTCACTTTCACTATTAGTAGTGATATTTTCTAGACTTATAACCATACTATAGATTTCACCTCTATGAATAGAATGATGATAGGTGCATACTGCAGAAATTGCTTTTCACTCAAAATTGAATTCGCTAAAATACTTAATCGGAATGAGATCTTTGGATCTCTGCATTGGTTCTTAATCCCTTCTATTCACGAAATATTTGGCCTGAATTGAATTGCCGGTTTGGCATCGCCTCATTGCTCGAGTAAAGGACGAAACACCTTCGTATTTATTTCTTAATTATTGTTCATTGAATGGGAGTTGGTTTGTTTCCCTTGAAAAGTCAACTAATTTCCGATCAATGACAATGATTACTTGCATTTAATTTAATTCTTGCTTTTAATTTATTCCTTTTACAATTGTTATTCATGATTTAATTCCAGTCCCCGTTAAACATTTTTAACAATTTACATTCAGTTACTTAAAAACATCTTTCAAAATAGAACTTACTAAGTATGGATTCACTCTTTTCAGATCATTCTACAATCAATAATCTTAGGAGATAATATAATCAATATTCTTCAGCAAATAAATTATATATCTATATATGTATAAGTATATCTGAACACCTTCAAATTCATTGCTATAATCATACAGCTTAGTTAGTATCTGGTATACACTGTTGGCAATGTATTATGAGATTAGACTAAAGACATGTTGTTCCACTAAATTTGATCTTGCTTCTGTTGGCAGTTGGCAAAGTTAAGGGCCTGAATTATATTAGTTATTTATTATACTTAAGCCTATGCCTATTTCGTGCATATGATTGTTTAATGAGCTGATTCTCAAATAAATAAATTCTCACATAAACTTAAAGCTTAGCAAGAGCGATTGCTGGACATTTTGCGCTCCGGTGCAGTTTTTGTGGGTCCAAAATTCTACTGCCAAACACCTCGCTAAATTCTAAAAATTTTTCATCTCAGTGCCTTCCTTAAATTTTCAAGATTTTGCCATCCCTTAATTTCATTGCTTGATGCTTCTCTAAACCCTAGTAATTGGGAAAAATATATTTCAGTGTCCCCCTTAGCAAAAACTGGCACCATTCCTGTTTACATGCAACACCCTTCCAAGTAGAATGGTATCCAAAAGATAATGCACTAAAACATAATTTAAACATAAAAAAAAAATATTACCTTTATAACTCCATTTTAAATTAAAATAAAACAAGGAAATAACATAAAAATGGAATACATATTATCTAATATGTGCACTACCAAAAGGAAATATCAACTTAACCTTATTTAGAAATTTCTATGCCTTCGGTGCATGGCACATAAAGTTCCTTAACAGCATCCAAAACTGTTTAAAATTATCTGAACTAGAATCTGTATACTGCAGTCACCACATAAATTCACAAAAGTAAAAATTAAAAATATCCTCCATAGTGCTGAACTGTTAGTAGCATTTCTTTCGAAAATCCCTTTTTTCCACTCCATACACCTTAGATAGGGTTGATATGAGCTCGGGTATCCAGATTCTTATATGTCATTGTGTGGTTTACTGAGAGGTGAATGAAGCCATTATCAGAAAGACAATCATTCGAATTCCAGCAATCGGATATGACTGTAATTCACAAAAGTAAGAATCAAAAATATCCTCCATAGGGTTGAACTGTCTGTGGCATTTCTTTCGAAAATCCCTTTTTATCACATCCTGCACACCTTCGATAGAGTTGATATGAGCTCAAATTTCTGGATCCTTAAATTCACTGTGTCGTGATTTACTGAGAGGCGAATGAAGACATTATTATCAAAGGCAATGGTAAGCCTTCTAGCAGTCAGATATAATTGTTATTCTAGGTAAGATATTCTGTTGAATTACATCCAACAAAGTTTCATACAGAAACTTCAGATTAATCTTACCACCAGTAGTCATTTTACAGCGTAAAGCACAAAATAAGCAACATACTTCCTAATCGACATCCAAAGCAGAAATAAGCCCTGAGAAACATTCTCCCCAAAATCAAATTGAGCGTGATTGCACATTACAACCAATCACATCATAATAGGGTCCAACCAATCACGTCATGATAGAGTTTCCAAAATATACATTGTAAAATACTCAGGTTGCCATAAATGAAAAACAACTTGGCGATAATCGAAGGGGTAGTCCAAAATAAAGACTACCCTAAAAATTTTCTTTCCCTGAATTCTGCCACCTATTGCAGTGACATCACTTGTCTTTGGCTTAACTGTATAACAAATCAGTTATCCTCAATGCAAACAATACTAAACATAATCCTTTAGCCTAAAAGCCTAAGTAATTTCTGTTAAAATTTTCCTCATCAACACATTCAGCAGTAGAGTTAGCAGAAGGTTAAAATCATCACCAAGCCTAATGTCACATAAAAAGTTATTATGCTCTTTGGCATTCAATTACTAATTTTTTTTTTTTTTTAAATTTTTAGACATAGCTGCTTAAATTATTTCTCAAGCTGTGGTGTGTTGACAATCATGCAGTAATAAAAGCAAGAAATAACAAATAATGATTCGCCAGACTGGCATCTGTGGTGAAATAGAACTTTCGACAGGTTTTATTATGAAAAAATATCAAATACGCAAGCATGAAGCATTAAAAAAATTTGTAGAAAAAATTTAGATTGTTCCAGAAATTGGATATCTGGATTTCAGTCTTCATTCATTTCTACTTTCTTGATTTTTAGATAATTTAAAACTAGTTTAATTTCTTGATGCATATTTAAAAAATACAGATGAAAACTTAAATTAATTTTTCAGAATTTTGTACAAGTATAAGATTTAGCCATAAAATTAAAAACAATTTAACGACAGAATAACTAGAAGTTGATCCTACACAAGATTCAATGAAATTATTTAACTAATAAAAAAAAGTAAAAGGGTTGATATTAGTGTAGGGCAAGGATGGGCAAACTACAGCACACCAAAAAGTTCTATCCAGCCCTTAGATAGAATTTTAATTTGCTGGTTTAAGGCAAATTAAAAGAAATATATACAGTCAAAAGTCATTAATCCAGACTCGTCGGGACTTCGGCGATTCCCGATTTTGAAACCGTAATTTATGAAATAAAGAACAATTATGATCTAAAGGGTATCAATCAAAATTTACAAAAAAAAAAAAAAAAGAAAAGCTTAATATTTATTTGTTTACTTTATTAAACATTTCTTTCAATGCAAGTTGTTTAAGTTGGTTCATTTTATGTGATAATACTTTCTCCTTAAATCTATAAACAGACATAATTTCTTGTTCAGTTACAAAGTTCTGCTGTTCAAGTCCTATAATTGATGTATCGAGAATACCGACTAATTTGTCAATTGAAATTTTTTCGTTTTTAATAAACTCTGTGTCACTTTCTTCACTATCGGAAGCGAATTATAATGACGAGGAATTTGATTTAAATCATATCAAAGACAGAGTACATCGGGATGAAATACTACATTTAGTAAGGAATTATAAGCCAAATAAAATAAAAACATCTGCTCTGAAGATAAGGATAGTGCTGACAGATCAACTTCCAGTTCACTGTGCGCCGTGACGTTCCCCCCCTACACACACATGCAGAGCAGTGTGAAATTGATAAACAGATTTCTGAATGGTTAGAGAAACAAAGGATATGCCTTTATCCATCTTTTGCAGCAATTCCACTTTTTGTTTAATGGACTTCGAAACATACTTTCGCTTTGTAGATCCTTTACATATTAGTAAATATATATTGGAAATTCTATTTGAAATAATCGAAAGTTCAAGCTTACTTTTATAAAATGCTCTAACAGTCTGCAAAAAATAATAAGCTGGATCCAATTCAAAGATTAAGGAACAACACAATCTGCAACATTAACTAAATTAGATAATTTTAGCTTAGCTTATACCGTCCATTATACATTAAACACGCACATGCATATTCGCAACCGTAAAGGTTTTACGCGCATGCGTCAAAGCCACA